CTCCTGAGTCGCTGGGATTACAGGCACGCGCCACCATGCCCAGCTAATTTTTTTGTATTTTCAGTAGAGACAGGGTTTCACCATGTTGACCAGGATGGTCTCGATCTCTTGACCTCGTAATCCACCCGCCTTGGCCTCCCAAAGTGCTGGGATTACAGGCGTGAGCCACCGCGCCCGGCGATGTTGGCAGTTTTGAGGCTACTGGGGGATCTGGACTCAGTGACAGCTGTAGTTCTTTTTTTTTTTTTGAGACAGAGTTTTGCTTTTGTTGCCCAGGCTGGAGTGCAATGGCATGATCTTGGCACACTGCAACCTCTACCTCCTGGGTTCAAGCAAGCGATTCTCCTGCATCAGCCTCCCAAGTAGCTGAGATTACAGGCATGTGCTACCACGCCCAGCTAATTTTGAATTTTTAGTAGAGACAGGGTTTTTCCCTGTTGGTGAGGCTGGTCTCGAACTCCCGAACTTAGGTCATCCCCCCCACCCCTGCCTCAGCCTCCCAAAGTGTTGGGATTATAGGTGTGAGCCACCACATCTGGCCCTACTGCTATATAGTTCTTTTGTTTGCAGGGTCCTCAGGTCATGCATGGAGGTGGCTTGGTAAGCTGGACAGGGAGATGGGGGAAATGAGGGATTCAGGCAGTCAAAAAACAGCAAAAAGGAGCATATTGAGGAAACTTCTAGAGTGCCTCCTGGGGATTCGCAAGGTCTACAGTCAGCCTGTGCCCAGTCTGTTGTTCTCTGTTGCTGGGGCCTGGGCTTGAATGTCATAATTCTGGGAAGACTTGCTTGGAGAACACTTGATATTATGGGACAAATTGCATTGTAGTAAACTCTTCCTGTTCTTTTATGGTGTCAATAAACTGTTTCTGTACTTTTATAGCATCAAGTGTTTAAAATAGGTGGGCTTTGAGCAAAGGACCAAAAGCCTCTTTTGTACTAGAAATGTGTTAGCTGTGATTGCTACTTTCAAAATGCCATGTGGCACATCTAAGAAAATGCTGATGTGGCATCCTGCCACATTGCAGCAATAAATTCAGTTTACCATTGGCTAAATCAAGTTATAACCTAAGCCAATATGCACTGAAAAAGCTGTTATGTTAGTTCAGACTGAAAGGAAGAATGGGCCCAAGTACCCTTACATAATAGCATAGGGGATCAGCTCTTCTCATTCTGGCATCTATTGCCCACCTTCCTTCTCAGTTCCTTACCTTGTTCCTCTCCTGCCTCCCTTTTGCCTCCTCTCTTTCTTCTCCCTTCCTCGCCCTTCTTCCTTTTCTCCATCTTCTTCAACCTCACCCAGAAAAGCAGGCTGTGACCTGATTGGTTAATCCCTGTCCAGTCTAGGGAGTCCTTAAAAGGCAATTTTGGGTTCAGGCACTGGTCCAGTCAGTTGGAGCCAGTGGAACATTTTGTTTTCCTGTAATACATGTTTGCTTTTCTCAGAGGGAGCAGTAGGAGGCAATGTAATTGCTAGATGGTTTTTATACTTGAGGCCTATTTATTTAATAGTTAAGTGAATTATTTTGGTACTCTTATATATTTTACTTTTTTTAAAAATGTGACAGAAAATGTAAGAAAATACTCTGAAAGCTGTAAAACTATGTAATATGAAGATGTTTTATGAAAAAAGTTGTATCTTATTGAAACTATCTGGTGGGGCCAGGCACAGTGGCTAGAGCCTGTAATCGTAGCATTTTGGGAGGCCGAGGTGGGAAAATTGCTTAAGGCCAGGAGTTTGAGACCAGCCTGGGCAACATAGCAAGACCCCATCTCTACAAAAAAAAAAAAAAAAAAAAGCCAGGCATGGTGGTAGGTACGTGTAGTCCTAGCTACTTGGAAGGCTGAGGCAGTAGGATCACTTGAGCCTAGGAAGTCAGGGCTGCAGTAAGCTATGATCACAACACCACACTACAGCCTGGATGACAGAGTGAGACCTGTCTCTTTAAAAAACTATTAAAAACAAACCAATAAAAACTGGTGAAATAAAGCCTGTCTTTCTTGCTTTTGGAATAATGTAGCAAAATGTAAACGAATAAGTTTATGATGGTAAGTAGAACTTTTAAAATCAATTTACTATTTTTAATGTAAATTGTTAGGCTTGTTTCAAATAACTTTGTATGGGTTTTAACTTAATGAAAAATTTCCAAATATATATTCTCTGTCTCAATCAAAAGGAAGAATTACCAAGATCTTCATCACACATCTTCATGGAGACCATTTCTTTGGCCTTCCTGGACTCCTCTGCACAATCAGCCTGCAGAGTGGCTCCATCGTGTCCAAACAGCCTATTGAAATCTATGGCCCTCTAGGGCTTCGGGACTTTATCTGGCGAACCATGGAACTCTCTCACACGGAGCTGGTCTTCCATTATGTGGTTCATGAACTGGTTCCCACAGTGGATCAATGTCCTGCAGAAGAACTAAAAGAATTTACACATGTGAATAGAACAGGCAGTCCTCCCAAAGAGGAACAAGGAAGAACTATCCTACTAGACTCAGAAGAAAACTCATACCTTCTGTTTGATGATGAACAGTTTGTTGTAAAAGCATTTCGCCTCTTTCACAGAATTCCCTCATTTGGGTTTTCAGTTTTGGAAAAGAAACGCCCCGGTAAACTCAATGCACAGAAACTAAAAGACCTCGGTAAGCTTTTTTTTCCCCCTTCTCATCAATAGGGTTCCTGTTAACTGAAGCTGTAAGAAGTGTCATTGTAAGGCCAGGTGTTGTGGCTCATGCCTATAATCCTAGCATTTTGGGAGGCTGAGGTGGGTGGATCACTTGAGTTCAGGAGTTCAAGACTAGCCTAGGAAACATGGTGAAGCCCCATCTCTACTAAAAATACAAAAAGTAACTGAGTATGGTGGCATGCACCTGTAGTCCCAACTTCCTGGTAAGCTGAGGCAGGAGAATCACTTGAACCCAGGAGGTCAAGGCTGCAGTGAGCCAAGATGGCGTTACTATACTCCAGCTTGGGTGACAGAGCAAGACTCTGTCTCAAAAAAAAAAAAAAAAAGTACCATAGTAAACTTCCATTCGTCTATCCCAGGCCTAAAACTGACATTTTCTCCACTTAGTCCCTTTGCCCGAAGTTTGCTTGTTAAGGAAAATCCATGGGAACAAAAAAATGCTACTTAGAGCAAAAGCCAAGTAAACATCTGAATCCTCTCCTGAGCTCCCTGGATCCACATTCTTAGTCTGTCTTCACCTTACGCTATCTTGGTTGGCAAGGTGGTTTGGATGGTAGTGGTGGTGGTTTTAGGTTCAGGCTTTATTTTTTCATGTCTTCCCTTTGATATGTGTTTTTGATGTCATCTTTGGTCTGAGAATTTTTGCCATCATTCTTAACCTTGCAACTCCAACCATGTGCTTTTAGAGTTTCCTTCTGTATCTACTTTGCCTACAAATTTAAGCTTGATTAAATTAATTTTGTATGCAAAATGCTGTGCCTCAGCCAGTTTTATATACCAGGGTTCATCACAGTTGAAAGCAATCATATAGAGGTGGGCTTGGGGCCCATCTAAGGCTTCACACCTTCTCCATGCTAAGCCAGGATGCATGAGGGGATCTTCAGCATCTCTTATGAGGTAGAGTCCAGGTACAAGGTACATTATATCTCCAGCATCACTGCCTTCACAGACATGGTGTGGCCGTGACTGTAAAAAGTATGGTGGCATTATGTGTGTGTTTGTTTGTTTATTTATGCACTATCTTCCTCAACTAAAATAAAATGCTAGATAATGAGGAAAAGTGACTTAGGCCAAGGGTATTTTTATTACCTGAAAGCCTGTGGAACTACTATTATATTTGGAAACTTTAAACATGATCTGTGTTAGAATCTGTGGTCACATTATACTAGTTTGTAAGTATTGTCCATAGTGATGATCAGATCTTATTTTAAATTAATATGAAATTTAGGCCCACTTTGATAAATGTGGAACTACCCCTGTCTGCCAAGAAGATTAATAATGTACAATTGCCTGAAAAAATTCTCCTTGATCTTGTAATACAAACAATCCTCTTTAACAATTTTTTATTAAGTCACTTCCTAGGTACTTGGTTTGACTAGGTGTTGATTAAACCTTTTTTTGGAGGCAGTCTCACGGTTGTCCAGGCTAGAGTACAGTGATAGGATCTCAGCTCACTCACTGCCACTTCTGCCTCCTGGGTTAAAGCAATTCTCATGCCTCGGCCTCCCATGTAGCTGGGACTACAGATGTGCACCACTGTGCCCAGCTAATTTTTTGTGTTTTTAGTAGATGCAACGTCTTGCCGTGTTGGCCTGGCTGGTCTGAAACTCCTGAGCTCAAGTGATCTCTCTGCCTTGGCTTCGCAAAGTGCTGGGATTACAGGCTTGAGCCACTGCACCCAGCCTGTTTATATCATTATTTAAATGTACTCTCAATTTTACCCAAAGGTGAGCTTATTAAATAAAGCACTCTCAAAAACTGTTGTTTCCATGCACTGCAGAGAATCAAGAATGTTATACTGACCACAATAGTGATACGTAGGAGACTAAAACTTGTCTGACGTGTATGCATGGGAATTATTTTAAGTACTAAGGCATTGCTAATATCAATCAACACTGAAATTTTTAAAATGTATAAGTAATTCCAGTTTTCCACAAGTAGCAAAACATACAATTATGGATGCCTTTTCCATTAGCTATTTGCAATGCTGTTAAAATAGACTTGAAAAGTCATAAATTCCATTCCTATGATGTAATGTTATCTGCCTTCATCATTAGGTGTTCCACCAGGTCCTGCCTATGGGAAGCTGAAAAATGGAATTTCTGTTGTTCTGGAAAATGGGGTTACAATTTCTCCCCAAGATGTCTTAAAAAAGCCTATTGTTGGAAGAAAAATCTGCATATTGGGGGACTGCTCTGGGGTTGTGGGTGATGAAGGAGTAAAGCTGTGCTTTGAAGCAGACCTGTTGATCCATGAAGCAACCCTGGATGATGCCCAGATGGACAAAGCTAAGGAGCATGGCCACAGCACACCACAGATGGCAGCAACATTTGCAAAGTTGTGCCGTGCAAAGAGGCTGGTTCTGACTCACTTCAGTCAGAGGTACAAACCAGTTGCCTTGGCCAGAGAAGGAGAAACAGATGGCATTGCAGAACTAAAAAAGCAAGCTGAATCAGTGTTAGATCTCCAAGAAGTGACTCTAGCAGAAGATTTTATGGTGATAAGCATTCCAATCAAGAAATGAAACCAGTGTTCCTGAGTGCATACTGACATGTCTGTGATGTGTTACTGAACCTATATTCCAGTTTTTTATTTCTTGTTTTAGTCTGAAATCATTTGGGCCCTAATAATCCTAAAAAGAATGGAGTTGCATTGATGAATTGACTCAGTATATTTAAAGGAAGTAAGCTTTTTGATAATAAATCTTTTTAAGAGGAAAAAACCCCAACATCCTTATTAAAGTCCAAATTTGACAAAATGATAGACTAGTCAGGTATACTTCTCCTTTTGTGCTACTACCACGGATATCAGCCAGTGTTCCATGCAGTCCTGGGCTTAGCTGCTTCCCAGCTTTATTGCTGCTATTGGCAAAGTGCACAGGACTCAGCCCTCATGGCTAAAAATGGTATTTTGGCAGTTTGTGTTGAATCTGTTTGTGTTATTAACAGAATAGGGAGAAATGTCATGAGATGTTGGACATGCAGGATTGACGATAGCATGAGCATAGCTTTGCTGTAATACTGAATACAGGGTTTGGCTAGGTGTTTATTTTAACGTTTTATTGAATTTCTGGTTGGCTTTTAACCCATGGTTTTCAGCTGGGCTGACACTGCTCTAGAAGGAGTTTTGAAATTATGGGGATGTTTTCTTGCTACAGTGACTGACTCCAGGGGTGGGGGGTGGTGAAGATGATGGTATTGATGATGGTATTGGTGGTACTGCTACTACTCGCATTTAGTCAGTAGGATTCAGGGATGTCCTACAAAAATTTTGATCAGTCATGTACAATAAAGAATCATCTCACCCCGAAATGCATATTGCAGGCCCATTGAGATACACAGCAAGTTAAAGCTGCCCTGATGTGAATATAGTTTACCAAAATTAGTGACATAATGAGTCGAATTACTAGGCAAGTCCAATCCTAAAGAGTGAATATGTTAGAATTGCAATGTCATGTCAAGTAACATTTTAAAGAAATGAGCCATCAAGTGAAGCTTATGAACCTGGAGGAAAAAATGCTTATCTATTAAACTGAGGTTTCATTTCCATGTCCCTATTAATAATTCTTTTGGCACAATTTAAGAAATTTTTTTTCTTTCTAGAATAGCTCCTCCTTCTGAGCTGCCTTCCACCTTCCTTCTGTCTGGTGTATCTCTGAATCATTTGCCCCACAATGTTTCTTAAAATATGTTCCATGGAAAGCTAGTCTTAAGTGCTGATTCACTCAGAAGGGCTCCTCGGTCAAATCAGTTTGGGAAACACTTTATGCTGTCAGTTTTTCTAGGAGTGGTGTAGTGCTCATCAACATGTTAAAAACAGTATTGCTTCAAATGATCATAAACCAGTGTTTGGTGCCAGAAAGACCTGATCCCAGAATCCCATTCTGTGACTTACGGTCTGGAGCTGGTAACACTCTGAGTTTCTTCAGTGTGCTCATTTCAAAAATGGGAAAAACAGTAAGACCCAATTCACAGATTGTTAAACAAGACAACATGTATAAGGAACATAGCACATTGCTTAAAGGTGTTGAGAAATCCTGTAGTACAGAGGCCTGTCAGCTCTACTGAACCCTTTCTCAGTCCTATTTCACTAATACTATGTATTAACATTTCAGGAACCTAGAAAGCTTTATAGCACATGTATTTAGAAACATTGTTGTAGTACATATTGTTCAATTTCTCTGGGCTCTGGGGCTTCTCTGGCCAACATTTTTGACTCCTGGCTAGTTTTGGAGACTCCAAAGTAGTTATGACCAGCTAGGGGCAGTGGCTAATGCCTGTAATTCCAGCACTCGGAGGCCAAGGCAGGTGGATTGCTTGAGCCCAGGAGTTCCAGACCAGCCTAGTCAACATGGTGAAACCCCATCATTACAAAAAACACAAAAGTTAGCCAGGCATAGTGGTGTATGCCTGTGGTCTCTGCTACTCAGGAGGTCAAGGTGGGAGCCTGGAGAGGCTGAGGCTGCAGTAAGCCATGATCGTGCTATTGCACTCCAGTCTGAGCAACAAAGCAAGACCCTCCATCTCTCTCTCTCTCAAAAAAGAAAAAAGTAGCAATGATCAAGATAAGTCTAGTTACTTGAGATCTGACAATCCTGATGCAGCCTCTAGAATGGCCTTTCTTACTGCAGATTCTTCCCGCCCCCCAAGTGCCAAACTTTGACCATGCATAAAGCCTGTCATGGTTCCTAAACTCAATTCAAATAAGCCTTAATTAGACATTAATATGTACCCAAATTTGTGCATGAGACTAGGACTCTAGGACTAGAATGGCTTGGATGAGTATCTGTAATGCATGAAGCCCCTGAGGGTAGAGACTATGTCTTAGTCACTGTTACATCCTTAGAAATGCCCACCTAGAGCTGGGTGCAGTGGTGTGTTCCTGTAGTCCCAGCTACTTGGGAGGCTGAGGTGGGAGGATGACTTGAGCCCAGGAGTTCAAGTCCATAGCAACATAGCAAGACTCCATCTTGGCAAGGAACAGTGGCTCACAACTGTAATCCCAGCACTTGGGAAGCCGAGGTAGATGGATTATTTGAGGCCAGGAGTTTGAGACCAGCCTGGGCAATGAGGCTAAACCCTAAAAATACAAAAATTTGCATTTTTTGTCTCTACTAAAAATACAAAAATTAGCCGGGCGTGGTGGTGCACATCTGTCATCCCAGCTACTCGGGAGCCTGAGGCACGCGAATTGCTTGAACCCGGGAGGTGGCGGTTGCAGTGAGCTGGGATCACGTTACTGCACTCCAGCCTGGGTGACAGCAGTGAGCTGAGATCATGTTACTGCACTCCAGCCTGAGTGACAGAGCGAGACTCTGTCTCAAAAAAAAAAAAGAAGAAGAAAAGAAAGAAATGGCTCACCTATAGTAAGCACTCAGAAATGCTTTTAAAATGAAGCCTTGATAACATGAGTGTACACACTTTAGGACATGCTTAAATGCCTAGCCCATTTCATTACTGAACTTATCAGAAAGAATATAAACCACCTGGTTGGTGGTGCCCATTCACTGCGTAATAAATAAGTGCCAGACTTTGTTGTGTTGGTAGTACATAAAACAGACAAATGGCAAAATTCTAGCTGTAAGCTCACAGCCTAGTGAAAGAGACAAATAGATAAAATTAAATCTTGTTGCTTTACATATTCTAATCTTGTAGCCTGGGCACTCAAATTTTGCTGTTCCTGAGCATTACTTTGTAGCTGACCTGAGCCATGCCCTTAGAATCAGGCTCTATAAATACATATGGGCTAAGCCCTCAGAGGCCATGGGAATGTGGAAACGATACGTTGGATCAAGTGTAGAGTATCAGTCCATGATGAGAACTTTTTCTAGACCCTCTTCTGGCCCAGAATTTGTTTTCAATGATAGGGACATTCTAAGAATTTGTGGAGCTAGAATGAAGAATGAAGTTTATATGGGACTTCTCAGAACCTGTAATCTACCCAAGGATTTGACTCTAAGTGGGGAGGGGGACCATAATATGTATTGTGTCCCAAATTTATTTGATTACCAAATCCTCTTTTTGCCAAGGAAGATCTTGGAACTTTAGCAATGCTATTCTCTACACATCGCAAAATTATTCTATTTATATTTTTTACCTGCACAATTCATTGAGTAATGATTTCCATGTCTACACTTAATACATTACTTCCTTTGTCTTAAACTGACTCAATTGTAAGGAATCCATAGATACCTACTTATTTTAAACTTTTAAAAATGTACACTTTTGGCCAGGCACTGTGGTTCACCTGTAATCCTAGCACTTTGGGAGGCCGAGGTGGGCGGATCACTTGTGGTCAGGAGTTCGAGACCAGCCTGGCCAACATGGTAAAACCCCATCTCTACGAAAAATACAAAAATTTAGCTGGGTGTGGTGGTGGGCTTCTATAATCCCAGGTACTTGGGAGGCTGAGGCAGGAGAACTGCTTGAAGCTGGGAGGTGGAGGTGGTAGTCAGCCGAGATCACGCCACTGCACTGCCTAGGTGAAAGAGCAAGACTCTTGTCTCGAGAAAAAAAAAAGTGCATGTTCGAATTCTCCAAAGTTGTTTACACTCGCCCAAATAGACCCTAAATCAGCTCTGTTTAATACTCATGCCTCATTAATGCACTTTAATGAACTTTGAATTATAAAAGCAACACATGCTTGGTAGAGAATATTTTTAAGATTCAAGAAAAGAAGAGAATTATTCATAATTCCTTCACCCAGAGAGAGCTGTTATTTCCGACCCAGTGATCCTCAAACTGAGGGGTGAGTCAAGATTACTCAGGGTGTGTAGGTAGACAGAGATCCTTAGGCTCTGCTTTCAAAAACTCAATTCACTAAGTCTTATTAAAAATCTGCATTTTTTTGCCGGGCGCGGTGGCTCACGCCTGTAATCCCAGCACTTTGGGAGGCCGAGGCGGGTGGATCACGAGGTCAAGAGATCGAGACCATCCTGGTCAACATGGTGAAACCCCGTCTCTACTAAAACTGCAAAAAATTAGCTGGGCATGGTGGCGTGTGCCTGTAATCCCAGCTACTCAGGAGGCTGAGGCAGGAGAATTGCCTGAACCCAGGAGGCGGAGGTTGCGGTGAGCCGAGATCGTGCCATTGCACTCCAGCCTGGGTAACAAGAGCAAAACTCCGTCTCAAAAAAAAAAAAAAAAAAAAAAAAAAAAAAAATCTGCATTTTTAATAAGCCCCCAAGGTGATTCTGAGGTATATGAGTGGCAGACCATATTTGAGAAAAAAAACTGTCTATGCGCCTTTAAAATTTGGTGTGTGTTTAGATATTTTGTATGTGCGTCTACCTATGTTTGTATGTGTGTATATTATATACATGTACACATGTATATTTTTACATGTAGGCTGACCTCAACAGTTTTTCTCATTTAGCATATTATGAGCATTTCCCCACGGCATTAAGTGTTCTCTGAAAGCATGAATTTAATGATTTTCTATTACTGCATTCTATAGATATAGTATCATTTAACCATTTTTTAATTTGGGGGCAGTGAGATTGTTTTCCATTATTATAAATAATACTATCATGAATATTCTTATGCATAAATCTTTGTATCTCTGTTTCCTTCCTTAGCATTGATTTCTCTGAGGGTGAAAATGTGACTTATTTTTGGAGGTTCTGGGTAGGAATTGCCCACTGTTTCTCATGCTCTTTCACACTCCTAGCAGCAGCGAATAGGAGTGGCCTGTCTTGGTATTCTATCTGGAGATGATATGGAGTATCATCGGCTCATGACCTTGCTAAGACTTCTTCCCCAAGACATTAGTCCTATGAAGATAATTTTCACCTCCCAGTGCCAATAACTTTGTTGTGTCTTTCAAGTAGCACGTATTGTGATTTCCTTGAATATTCTTATGCCAACTTAAAAATTTGCTAGTTTTTACTTTAAGGGTAAAAATTCTTACTGCTTCAAATATGTCCATGACAAATGTACAGTGAAAGTACTTTTTTACTCACAAAGATATACATTTATTGTGAAATGTGCTGGTTCTGTCCTTACTGATGGATGGATTTTTCAGGTAATGAATGAATCAGTATTTTTCTTACATGGGAAGACTAAAAAGGAAGCGCTGGGAATGCTTTGAATGTTCCCTCTTGGCAGGATAAGAATAGAATGCGGGACGGGTAAGATCGAAAAATTCTTTTCTTCCTTAGTAGGAAGTAAACAACGTCTAAAAGTGAAAAATAAATAGTACTCTAAGCATAGTATGTTTTTAAAAAGCAGAGGGAGGGGACTACCAGATGAATAGTTAAGAGTGGAAGAAGGGGTCAGAAGGGTCAAGGAGGTGAGGAGGGATGGTCAGGGGACTGCTATTTTTTATAAGCCTAATAGTATTAGTACTGTTTGATATTTGAAACTATTTGTATATATATATTCATTTAGTTTAAAAGTTACATTAAAACACATACACAGAAGACATGCTGCTCTGAATAACCTTATCAATTGCGTGTCTCCCAATGGGTGCTCCAAGCAGTTAGCAGCTGCCCTCAAGCCTTTGTAACATTCCAGTCACATTCTCCATACTGCAGTCTGAGTCTGTTTTG